TCCACGACAGCACACCGTGTCATGCAACCAACATCATGAACATCAGAGCCCCCTTACAACACCTGCAAGCACCCGCCACTGAGCCATCTAAAGATGGCTCCAGTACAACCCTTAATGAGAAGGGTACGTCAGCTGGCTGAAGTCTTCCGTCCTGCACCGCAATGTCACGCTCGCACTCGGCAGAGGGATGCACTGATGCACTCTGCACTGCTTGGGAAGCTGCACTGCCCCACACGTCTTCAAATCCCAGGTCTCTGAAGACTTCCTTGAGGTGCTCTTTGCGAAACACTTTTCACCGAAACTCCAAACTTCCTCAACTGTCGTAAGACGTTCCAAATGAGCTTCAAAGCCTATGCGATACGTTGACAAGATGTTGTCCCACGAAGTTCCTGAGCGACCGGCGGGCCTAGGACGTTCACACAACTGTTCAATGTAAAGCTCGTGGAGCCTTTCCTTCAAGAGCTCAACACTTTCACAAGATGCCGTCCTGAGAACTATGGCGACCGCACGGTCGCGGTGTCTGCAACTACCCGCCGCTCTAGATTTCGCCGAAGGACCCTGAAATCAGAAGAAGGTTCCAAGCCTGGGCTCCCTGAACGTAGGCCGCAAGGCAACCCACAAGGAAACCCGAGACGTGTCCCGAAGCTTGGGCTTTCCCAAGCTCCGCTACCATGTAAATTTTCCTTGACTCTGAACAAACGCCTTCGGTCGTTGCACATGTGATTCACATGCTCTCGTGGAAATGAGTGCAAAGTACAATGAAGCAACACAAATAAATACGACATGTCATCATGAGAAATCATAAACAGCAAGAGGCGGGCCTCGTACATCAAAGCGCCGCACAGGCCGTATTCTCTTCCAGGCGCTTGCTGCGCACCGACACACAAGCACAGTCAACACCTACACACCGGCGCAGTTTGCGTGTGCGCACACCAGAACAAGGCCGCACGCCAACAATGTGGCAGAGAACCTCCACCCCGTTCGCAACTAAGCCTGCCCTGGCACGTAATGCTAACTTGCCTGTAAGGTTCTTGTGCTGCAGCACAGGTCGGTGCGTAGGCGAAGCGTTGGGTGTCACGATAAGTAGGCTATGAACGGCTTCGTAACGGAACGTTTAGGGCTTAGTTACGGTTTCCGGGTTCCCAATCTCTCTTTAGCTGCCTATGGAAAGTCTGAAGAATTCAGACGGTACTTCGACTGCAAAACGGTCCTACACATGCACCTGGGACTCTGCAAACTGCAGAATACATGCTCCTTTAGCTATATGTAGAGACAGTCTGAACGACTCAGTTGGTACTTCGGGTCCGAAACATATGCCCAGGGCTGGCAAAATCTCCAAAGAGCAGCACAAATGCTCCTTTCGTGATTTAATGTATATGTCGAGACCGCACGTGGTGTGAACTTATGAACTGAGGAAACAAACAATTATGACTCACATCTTCTTCTCACAGCCTCACAGCACGCAGTGACTCGTTTTCCCTTCGAAGAAAGAGCTGCTCGAAAGCTCGAAAACATCCAGAGTTCAGGTGAAGCCAAAAGCAAAAGGTGGCACAGCCCCTTGGGCGCCGAAGTTCAAGATTGGCCCAATGGTCAAAGCATTGGGCTGAAGGGTGTCCCCCCCTGTCTCACACGCATGACCGTCATGACCCAGAGACTAGAGACCTGGATGACAAGCGACAGCGCGACAATCAATATCATATCAAAAACATAATCAGAGGACCGGTCATGTGATGCAGGCCACACCCGCAAAACCTCAAGGCTCGCTGGCTTTTTTTCACTTGTCACCCTCACTGCCCTTTTGCTCGCCCTTGTCATCCTTGCTGCCATCGCCATTGCCGGGGTGCTGCGCCAAGAACTCTTCCATCTTCAAAGTGTCGCGGTCGGAGTTTCGCAAGATCTCAATCACACGACCGTAATTGTCCTTTGAGGCGTCCGTCTTAAGCATGTAAGACTTCCGGATGCCGTAAAAATCCAAACCCAGGATGTACTTGGACACATCCTCGAAAGTGGGACTCATGATGTCCTGAGTCACCTTGGATATCACGTCGCCCGCTGGGAAAGCCACCAGATTCATGGAGCCCATGGCCAGGACGCGAATCATGGCCGCACCGTTTGGAGTCATCCAGCAACCGGCCATTTTATTGTCAAAGCCGAAGTACCAAATGCTCTTGTTGAACACCTCGCCCTCCTTCACGGCGCTGAGATCCAGCCTACGAGAACGGGCTGGGGTGCAGGACTACCACACGAGCAAACAGTTTACATACTCATCGGCTAGAGCTGAAAAAGACAATCAAAAACCGTCCAACCCACGCTCTACGAAGCTGCTGTATGTTGTTGCAGTATCCGCCAAAAGCTCAACCTCTAGTCCAGGTACGGCACACACAAAAAAACCGCAAACAAAGTTTTCTAAAGTCTAAGGTCTGAGGCCACATGGTTATTCAGGAATACACTCGGACTTCACCCGGCCTCGCGTCACCGCACGGAAACACCTTGTCCAAGAAGGCATCGGCAGCCTCCTTGCCAGATTTGGCCACCACGGGCGCCATCGCTCGACCCTCGGACTTAAAGGAACTGGCTTTCTTGTAGACGCCGCCGAACTCGCTGAGCTTGACCGTCACGTCGCTCTGATTTCTCCACGCCTTGGCCTCCTCGCTCGAGCGGACTATCCAAGGCTTGTCGTCAAGGTTCGCTGCCGCCGCCGCCTTGAAATCCTTGCCATCGCTCTCGACGAAGGGGTTCCACCGCTTTTGGTCGATGCTGAAGACTTTGTGAACATTGCCCTTCATCAGCTTCACTTTTGCCGCTGCTGCTTTGGCGCAGTCACGGACCTTTTGCAACTCCTTCTGGTCCGCGGCCTTTTTCTCCTTCGCCGAAGCACGCTCCTTGCTCTTGGCCTTCTGCTTAATGTAGTTCACGATATCGGTTGCGACTTTTTTCAATGACTTGGAGAAGAGCTCAACCACGGCGGCGTCCTGCTTGATGATGCGGGCGCACGTCTCGTCGACTGCTTGGGCATTCATAAGCTTTAGGATTCCTTGAGCCTCCAGCGTGAAGTACACTTTCGAATGCAGGACCGCATCAGGGTTGACAAGAGTGATGTCCTGCCCGGTGCCCGCCAATGCCTCCTTCAAGGCCTGGTCTGCAGCCGCGAGAGCCTCGGCGTTCTTGTCGGCATCATCACCGATGGCCTCGTGCAACTTCCACGCACCCACCAAGCCCTCGCACATAGCGATGCTCTTGTTGTACGCCGTCATCACATCGTCCTTGTCGGCCTCCTGCTGAAGCTTCGTCTTGGCCTCCTGAAGCTTTGTCCTGGCCTCCGCGAGCGATGCCTCCAAAGCGGTCGTCTTCTCTTTGACAAGCTGGACCTTTGTGTTTTTGAATGCCGAAAGAGCTGGACCGGTCATCTTCTCGTAGCGCAGGCGCCTCTTCTTTTGCTCAGGTGTCTCCTGCTCCTTTTCCTCATCTTGTGGCTTCCTCTTCTGCGGGGTCACGCCTGCTCAGGCTCACCCGGCGATGATGATTCCTGGCCCTGGCGGAGCCAAGCCTCAGCCTGGAATCCAAGAGCATCCGCAGAGCTGGCATGCTTTAGAAGGATGTCCCGGTCCTGCTCCCCCAGGTTGCGCATCTGCTGGAATCCCTCTTGCAGCTTGCTCACGACGCTCCGCTCTTTGTCCCGGTGTTTCTCCTCCACAACTGGCAACCAAAGCCTCAGGGAATTGCCGATGCCCAGGCTGTCACGCTCAATGGTCTCATCAGCAAGGTACTTTTCCCATTCGCTTTTGGATTGCTCCTTCGTCCAAGCCATGATGTTCTCACCGCGCTTCAGCCACTGTCCAAACTCCCTTTTAAAGGCAGCCCAGTCCACCAAAGCCTTTCTGCGCCATTTCCCCTCCGCCGGATTGTCTGCGGAGAATTTAATGAACACGTCTCGTGCGCGATTTGCGTTCATCACAGCACTCTCAAGCGAAGCAGTCTCCCCTTTGGCCTTTGCTTGATAATACAAGCAATCGTACAAGCGATTGTGCTCCAAGCACCATCGCTTTCCTTTGCAGCATGGCTCTGGGCATACGAAGCACGTCGTGAGAGGCTGCTTGGCCTTGGCTTTCGGACCACGTTTGCCCCTGCTCGAAGCTTCAACTGCTTTGGCCTCCCCGGCCAAGTCTGTCAACTCCTCGCCCTCGGCAAAGTCAATATCCATGACCACGAAGGAATCTAGAAGTTCTGCAACTCGACCAGGAGGCCAGGAAAGGAATGGCAGGTCAAGCGGGTGCTAGTTGCAAGGGATGGAGACAGCTGACTCTAGCAGTAGCATGCAAAGTAGCATGGACACAGTAGTGTGATCACTCTTGCCAAACTACAACATTGGAAACATACATCTCTACCTCTACACCTCATGCAGTCATGCTGTCATCCTGCTACAAAGTGCATCATACCGTCATGCCAGCAGCACACCTCGGGCATAAAGCACGATGTGTTCGAGCAATTTCGGATGCGATTAGTCCTGCAATCATGACTGACGACTGACGCCACAGGAACAAAGAGCTCATCCTGCTGATGCATCTCCCACAATCTGATGCATGCCACACAACGGGCTCAACGCGGACCTACAAGCTGCAAACTCTGTGCCCACACCGCAAAAGGCTGTTAGCTGACGTCATCTCGCACCACGAAAACCTGGCACACTATGACTCTGCTAACTTTTGCTGCGTCATCTGCCAAAGGCTCAAGCTGAAGCTGCTGTGGTCCATGCCGCTGTGGCAGCTTTGGCAGTTTGGCATAGCACAAAAGCACTTAAAAGCACAAGTGGCACAAAACTGGACGACTCGCGAAAACAACACTGCTCATTCTTGTTGAGGGCTTGAGGACTTCAGGGAAAAACAAGTTCAACAGGAAGCCGTTGCTGCACAGGCATGTGCTGTACAAGTGGGCAAGTCTGTCCAAGGCATCCAACTGCACGTCATGATTCAGGATCTGCCGCGATTTGCCTGGGTCCTGAGTCATGAGTCCTCCGAAGTCCTCCGAGCGCTGGGGCTCGACTGTCTCGACTCGCCATCTGAAGTTGTACTTGGAGGAGCAGAGGCTGAGGCTGAGGCTGAGACTGCCGACATGCCTGAAAAGGAGAGGCTACGCTCCGGCTGCACCGTCATGTTCCTATTGATTCGGACGCAATGCATCAGGATGTACAGCAGCCAGCTCCCCATGACAGCCAGATGCCATCCGTTCCCCAGAAGCAACTGTCGCACTCTCGGCGACAGTCTTCCAAGCACGTCTGCAATCGGAGAGGAGGAGTCTTTCATGAAATAACCGCGTGCTTGATAAAGTTCTCGATGCGTCATCTTCCGTGAGGCCCGCCATGCATGCACCGTACCGTGGGTCAGCATGGACGGAAGGATGCGGCCTGGAGTGCTGGCACCAGCACCACAGTTTTGCTCTAAGTCTGCAAACCAGGTAAGGTCTTCCCCTTGAGTCGACTGCCTCAGATTCTCGTATGCCGAATACCTCAGCAGCTGCCCTGGTGCATACATCTGACTGAGCGGAATCGCTGCGGTGTTCGGATTCTCTTTCAGAGAGAAACCACGCTTGGAGGCCAGGTGGCCGATCTCTTTGGCAACATCTGCTTCGTCTGCAAACAGAAAAACATCAGCAGTTGCCTCCATTTGCGCCGCAAAGAACGACTTAAAGTGATCAAGTACTTGCTCCTGCGGTGGTCCCAGCCAAATCATGCTTGCTTTGCTGAGACCACAGGTAAAAACACGCCTGCGACGAACAGGCCAACCCAGATCTGTGGCAGACACCACAATGTGCAGCACGTGGTGGCTGGAGAAAAGTGGATTGCCGAGCTTCTCCTGCGGGCTACGGGCTCAACAGGACTTGTGCACTGGGTTTCTGATTCCGGGGAAATAAACTAAGCAAACTTCTGGACAAACAAACTTCTGGACACGTGACATGAATATGAACTGCATGAAGTATAACAGCCAACCTGTCGGATGGGTTGCACACAGTTTCTGAATCTACTCGTATCCTCAGTCCTGAACTGGATATTTCGGAGTACATTCGCTCACAAAGAAATCTTCTTGGCACAGTTCAGTTCTGCCAACCATATGCAGTGTGGAAGCTCGGAAACATCCGCGAACTGGAGCTTCTTCCCTGCTGACGACCACCCGCAGCAAGTTGTTCCCGCCAGGTTGATTCGTAAGGGTCCTGCACGTGCGCAGGGCTCATCGCAAGGACGGGAATATTCATTACTGCGAGACTTTGTTCTGCGCCTTTTGAAGACTCTCTGTAGCTTTCTCTAAGGGACACTGGGGAAACACGAAACATCGCTGGCCATGTACACTGCAAAAGCTCTTTGCATCCATTGGAAAGAGCCACGCACGGTTCTCCATCAAGTATTGCTCCATGTTTGCATATGCTTTTACAAGCTTAGCCTTGGCCACCTTCTCTGAAGGTAGCATCGCATCAAGCAGAGACCGTGCTTCAGGAGGCAGGCGGTTGTTCAGATTGCCCAAGACACATATGTTGTTTCCGTAACAAGAACTGATCGCCTCGAGGACCTCTTGCTGCGCGGCCCCCATATCACTGAACCTAGAAAACTGCACAGCTGTTGCATAATCTTCTAAAGGGTCATACGTCTGCAAAGCCTTGCTAATGCCAAACATGCACTTGTGCTTCCCTGCCAGGCCACTATAATCGGAGTACATAAGCAAACCCGACCGCAAGTTGTGCTTCAACCGCTCGATACGCTTCCCTTTGCTGCCATCTTCTGTGCGCAGCAAATGATGGAGAGCAGCAGATGGCCAGTTGCAAAAATCATCCAACGATCGCGGCCCTGGCTTTATGCGGTTATGCCCAAAGGCACGGGGCCTGAGACCGACACCTTGAAGAAATCCAACTTAACTATAACTTCTAAGTTCAATCTGCTCTGTCGAAAATGCAGCTCTGCCCTGCTACCATCTCTCTCTTGTATCCATGTTTCAAAACTGCGCTACGTTGCGGTGTAGTCTCTGGCTGTTTCGTTGATGGTGTAAGTCCTTCTCCTCC